AATATCAAATAATATAAAAAATGTAATTAATTGAAATCGATTTAGTACATGGAACATGGTCAGTTATTAGAGGATAAATAGTCCTCAGAGTTAATTTCAGATGCTGTTATTAAAAACAAATCTCCAATAGCTCCCATATTTGCAGTATCCATCTACAACTCATTAATAAATTAATTTTTCATATTTTTTTACTACAATTATCCCATCAAACACAAAATATTACTGTTATATAACATAGACGTAATATGTACTGTTGTTACTTCTATGTTATATAGCAGTTATGTCTTTCTTTGTTAAGATTGTAATATTTCGACTATATTTAATACACATTTTTGTACATTTATAGAACATATTACATCAATTATTACTATTCTCTATCCTTTTCATCCATTAACCCAGACAGCACAAAATATTTATAAAATATTTACAAAATATTTATAAGATTTATTTGAATATTTTATGAATATTTATCAAAATGTTTCATAAATATATTTACAAATATACATATTTACAAAATATTTTTGTGACCTTAGATTCAATAAATATTTATATATCTCATAAATATTATAAAAATATTTATTAAAATATATACATTTATATACATTTTTCTCTTTTCCTGAAGTTTTCTTAAAATATGCATTTTATTATTTCACACGCTACTTAATTGAATTTAAATTGTACTTTGAAAATTTGTTTATCATTGCTGAGATTCGAATTTCTTATTTTTTTTATTAATTTAATAATTTTAAATAATTACATTTATTTTTTTCATTTATAATATTTGTAAATAGATATATTTACAAAATATTATTACAAATATTTATTTTTCGTTAACTATAAATATTGTATAAAATATTTAGTCTATATTTTAATAATATTTTCAATAAAGATTTTGATACTTTTTCCTTCAGGTATGTGTGCATATAAAATATTTATATTATGTTTATATAATATTTTTAAGAAATTATTTGAAATAAATATTTACCATAAATATTGTGTGCTGTCTGAGAAACGCATTACTTTTTGCACACCAAAGAACCGTATTCGTACTTAAGGTTCCTGCACATTCGGAACTCAGGCTACAATTTTTCGGCAGCCGCTTGGATTGGGATGCTAAAAGTTGCAAGCAATTGCACGATTTTGCTTGCAACTTAAATTAAAGAACGGTCAAGATGTACGCAGTCTGCAGTTTGATGTACGCAACTGGATATACAGAACGATTAAATTATGCATCGGATGCATCGGGTTGTATCTGTTGCGAATAAAAGAACGCACCCACAGAAAAACTTAGGCAGTAAGGGCTATCGCACACAACATAAATTGACATAACTGCATATGCTTAGCATAAGACCGTATGTACCAATGAGCATCGAGTATTAAGTCGTCATATTGGTGTTCGATGCTTAATATTCGATGCTCATTGGTCCATACGATCTTATGCTATGCATATGCAGTTATGTCAATTTATGTGCGATAGCCCTAAAGCCCGTATCAAGGTGCTATTTCACGTGTCGTACGACAAACTTTTCAGATACGTTTATTGGTTGACGAATAGAGTATTTCTAGGTTCTCTGTTCGTCAACCAATGAACGTATCCAAAAAGCTTGTCGTACGACACGTGAATATCAGCCTCAAGCCCGTATCAGACTACTGACTACATAGGCTGACCCGATTGCCGACTACGACTGCCGACTCTCAGGCCTGTTCTACAATACATTGTATGTCGGAGTCGGATGTCGGAACGCAGTCGATGGTCCAATGAGGAGAACTGGTTAACGTAAAATACACTCTCTCATTGGATAGTTTATTGCGTTCCGACATCCGAGTCCGACATACGACGTATTGTAGGACAGGTCTCAATGGCCGGTATTCATAGTCTTATATTTAAGGTTGCTTAAGTTCATCTTCAGATATTCCGTAGCCAATGAAATGATCCATACATTATCTGAAGATAAACTTAAGACGGTCTTAAATATAAGATCCGACTATGAATACCGGCCAATGGGCCGAGTCGGCGCCTCACTGTGATTGGTCCATTGAGAGTCAGCAGTCGTAGTCGGCCTGTGCAGTCGGTAGTCTGATACGGGCTTAAGACGTCCTGTGTGCTGAAGCCATAAGACGGGAGCGTCCCGATTGGACACAACAAACCAATGAAAAGTATTATCTAGTGAATTACTAGGTCGAACCAATCATTACAATCTGTGTCCAATCGTATCGTGGTCAATCGGGTCCCACCCATTTCGGACTATGAATACCGGCCTATGTATATACGTCATTGGTTTGTGGTCCTGTGTGCAAGAGCCATTACAGTTCTCCGCAAGAGGTCTCTGTGTTTTCAGTATCCAGTGAGTCTTATTTGTAAATTGTAACCTATGAATTGTGTGTAATTCTAAAAATTGTTACTACAATTCATTATTCGTAATTACTCATCTATTTCTTTTAGCAATATTTAAGGTTTAACATATTTATTTTATATTTATATGATGGATGAATATGATGAATCATCGGACATTGAGATGGTGCCTATGGAGGAAATTATACATGTAGAGAAAAAACCAAATACTCTTATTAAAGCTACTACAAAAGCAGAGTCACGGGTAATAAAATTAATTATTCTTAATTGTTGCTGTTAATAATACCATAAAAAGTACTTTAAACGACTATAAATTTATTTAGGTACAACCATCAGATAATTTTTCCAATAGATCCACTAGCACATTTACGACAGGTATAGATATATTCAGTAAAGAAGAAAGACTAAAGATGGAAGAACGAGCAAAGCGTTTTGGTTTAACAGAGAAATTAGAAAACGTATTATCTAATGAAGAAGATTTATACAGCAGGTAAAAGGAATTTATTTGATACAAAGAAAAAACAATAAATATAACTTTATATTATATTTACAGTATGGGTATCACAGATGATGGTGAAAATGTGAAAAATGTTAGATTAAATGTTATTCATGTCAGAGGAACTGAGGAAATGAGTACCAAAGATGTATTAAAATATTTTCAAGATTATGCTCCACAGTCTATTGAATGGATCAATGATATTTCATGTAAGTTTTTAAGTTTGATTTTCTATTCATGAAATTTATGATTATTTGACTAATGTTTGATTCTCTTATTTATAATTTTATAGGTAATGTAGTATGGTTTGATAACTTATCAGCAGCCAGAGCCATGTTAGGATTGTCGAAAAAAATATCAGGATGTGTTGGAAAATATTCAGATGGAAATCTTAGTTCAGAGGCAGATTATGAAAATGGAAAAGATTGCAAAGACAACAATTTGATGGCATATGGAAAAAATATACTTACTAATACAAGCAATAATGGGAAAAAAGAAAATTATATAAATATTAAAGATATTGTTCATCCATTACCTCCTGGTACATGGAGAAAAGGAATTGATTATCCAAAATCTAAAGCAATTTTTTTAAGATTTGCAACTAGAATGGATAGGAAGCAGGCAAATGCAGAAAAAATAAGTGAATACTATAAAAAATATGGGAACCCTAATTTTGGAGGTAAACTCATTTTATATATGTAGTAAGATAAATTTACTAAATAAAATAAAGATAATGAGATAGTTTTATTAAATATAAAATAAAGATAATGATAAAAAATAAAAATAATGGGATAGTTTTATTTTTTTCTATATGAATTTCTAGGTATCAAAGGAATTTTAACGGAATCTCGTAAACGTATGTATAAACAAACAAAACAAACTCAGCAAAACAAACATAGGTCGACTGAAAAAAATAAACAAATTAAGAATCCATGGGGTGCATTATCTGAGACATGGGGTGTAAATGATATTGTGGAAGATGACTTTCTTCCAAGAAATGATCCAGATCACGGACGTAGCGTAAAGGATAGATTGGGTACTAAATTTTTGGATAAGGATGCGATACGAGCGATGGAATCGACAGAGGCTAGCTCAAGTAGCGATAGTGAGGAAAATTGGTGTAAGCGAAGTAAAGTTTTGCGCATGCGAATGCATGCTGATGACGAAGAAGAGAAACAGCAAAAACGTCGAGCAAAATTGCGATATCAAGTTAGTTAACTTTTACTGAAATATTTATTTTAATATTCCCTAACTTTCATTAAACTAATATTTTTCCTTACACAGATGATCCTTAACAATTTAAATAACAGTGGTGATTTGCGATCAAAGTTAGGAAAGCCAAGAATGAAAATGCAGTATTGTGAACCTATTCAAGTAGTGATCACGAACATGAACCCACCAAAGTCGAAATCTTTAAAACACGATAGTGGTTCTGAGATAGCATGGAGGCGGGATCAAATAATGAATGAAATTAAACTATCAGAAAGGGAAGAGGGAGAATGGCAAGAATCAGAAACTGAAAATGATCAGGAAAAAGAAGATGAAAAGATTGAACAAAGCCAACATAGGCAGTATTCGTTAATGGAAGATGAGGAGGAGAAGAAAGAGGAAGAAAGACAAGAAGAGGAGGAAGAAGAGAAAGATAAAAACAGGAAGGATGAAGAGGATAGTGCTGATGAAGATAGCAATATACCTGCAAAGGAAGTTCAGGGTCCTAAAGGAAGTGTGATAAAGGTAGTTCCACCTAAGCCTCGTGTTGCCTCCACTGTATGGGCAAGATTAAATCATGTAAAAAGTGAAATTAATGACAGCTATCTGAAAAAGAGGTAAGAATATTACTTTATTCTAAATTTTTTTATAGAAAATATAAATTCGACATTTTCTAAACTACATGTTCTATTTAATAATTTAGATGTATAGAATGTTTATTAATACAAACTATAGATGAGCTATAATAGTGCTTATAATGCCTTGGCATCAATAAAATAGTTATTCTTCTCAATTTCTGTTACATATAACTGAAAAAGTGTACGATCTAAAACAGTGTTTAGAATTGCAAAAGTGCTTGCACTTTTGAAACGATTTTCGAAACGATTTATGTCTATTCTTAAAAAATATTTCTTTATGAACATTATTTATATAACATATTTTAGAATAATATATGTGTGCTCGGAATTACTTACACTTCCAAAACAATTGTCGAGGAATATATCTATTCTTTTCGTCTTGCTTCCGTTTACGCGTCGAATCTCAAAACTGACAATCGTAGTGCTTAGTTTCAGAACTGTCAACTGCATAAGATCTAATTCCTGAAAAAGAAGTATCTAATTCCTGAAAAAATCTTATAAAAATTATATAAGATGTCCTAGTTCGATTTCATAATCTTTCGTGAGGGCGTAGAGTGGGTGAGGCCCAGTTGCACACAGACCCAATTGCACATCACCAACCGATGTTCTGCTTTATCTAGTAAATAACTAATTCACTAAATAAAATAGAGCACCGGTTGGTGGTGTGCAATTGAGTCTGGGTGCTTTCCAGTTGTATATACTGTGTTATACAAAACCAGTTTATTGGTTGCATATTATCTTACAAGATATTTTAGATAATATGTGACCAATAAACTGGTTTTGTGTACGTGTGTGTTAAGATGTGTTAAATAATTGGAAAGCACCTTCTGTGTGCAAGTAGGACCAGAACGCAGATTCAGGTGAATACAAATTCCTATACTACTTTGCGATATTTGCAATAACTATCGAGATATTAATTAAAGGAAAGAGTAACGTCAACGTGTGCTTTATTTCTGAGCAGTAAAAATGTACTTAAAATAGATACCAAATTAAAAGCCTTGATGAGTTGATTACAAAAATATAACTTTTAGAGCCGCCCAGTGTACCATTCCAACACTATGGTTCAAGAAGGTTCCAAATTTTAGGCTACTTTCTTTGTTTCTTTTATTTCATTTCATTTCAAAAGTTGAATTTTGTTTGATCTAGCTTTTAAAATAGTTAAACAAAAACAATTTAAGTATTTCTAATGTTTTTTATTAGGTTAAAGTGCATTTTCCTATATACTTCATGTTCCAAAATCAATCGGAAATTGATATTCCAATTGGAATTTTCTACTTCCGGTCAGTTTGGAACATGGGATTTATACCATTAAATTCTTCATTTAATTTTATTAAATGTAGTATTTTGGATTTTTAAAATCTGTTAAGTTTTGCTAAAGAAACATCAGTTTAAAAGTAGCCTAAAATTTAGGACTTTTTTGGATCGTAGTGTTGGAACGGTACGCTGGGCGGCTCTAAAACTTATATCTGACATCACTCTTTGTAAATAATGATGCTCGATATGTGTGCTAGATGATTTGTAGCGATGACGTCTGCCGTCGTGTGCGTTAGGTCAAATTGAACAAAAAAATCCTCTACCATTTTGCAAATGACCACGTAGATTTTTAATTATTAATTAAAGAAGATTGCATTATCGCGCAAAATCGCGCAACAATTTCCTTTAATTAATAATTAAAAATCGAAGTAGTTATTTGCAAAATGGTAAAGCACTTTCTGCTCAGTTTGACCTAATGTACAAGCATTATAGCAGACGTCACCACTATAGCTAATCTACCATATCATGCGTGATTATTTACAAATCTTCTACAATTAATATCTTGATTATTATTGCGATTATAAAACAGTATTGGACTTTCTTGTTCATCTCAATCTGCTCAATCGCAATTCAATCAAGCAATTAGTTGCATGATTCAACAAATGAATGGGAAAGACAAAGGGAACTAAATAGGCATTCGACAGGCTCTCGACAATTGTCTCGAAAGTACAGGCAATTTCGAGCACTATTCTAAAATATATCACAAATAATATTTCTCTAAAGGAAAACAATATATTTTTTAAATATTTTTAAATATGAATATTTTTAAACATGAACATTTTTAAATATTTTTCTCTTAAGAGACAACAAATTAAGATTAAAGAGTCTTATCTTTTCCAGACAATCAGGAAGCCATAATTTAAGAAATATATTGAAAGGTGGTGATTTGCGATCGCGCATTGGGAATCACACAAGAGGACGTTCTCCCTTGAGAATAGAAGTGAAAAATGACAAATACACAAGAAATGAAAGCGATGGAGAATGATTGCAATTCAAATGAATAATATGAATTACTTGTTTAACAATCCGACACTTGTAAAAAGCGCTTATTATTCCGATTTATTATTTTACGATACTTCATTTTTCATAACATTTTATATTATCTACTTAGCATGTAAAATCGTATACTCATACATATATACAAGTATATATAGAGTGTTTGAGACTAAACACTCAATCTATCTCATTCTTAATCAAATATGGAATTACAGACTAACTCAAATATTTTCATTACTAAATCACCTGTGCTCTTTTAGATGATACTACTTTTAACTTTCGATCTGAATCGGAAATAGTCTAATTAGCCCGGAAGTATAGTAAAAAAATGAAATATGTTACTTTTTATTGCAGATTCTGATTCTACTTCTGATGAAAGTGAAGATTTGATAGGGCAATTATATTCTAGAACTTAAATCTTATTTTTCAGAAAATTTTTAAAAGTTTGCAAATCATGAAATTTATTTTTCTTTCCGGAATGTCTCCTATTAAGCATAAAAAATTAATTTTTTGTCACAAAGTTATATGTGTTCTTTTCAATGATGCCATTTTCAACTTCCAATCTGGGTCAAAAGTAAATTTGTTTGCATTAAAAATCGATATTTTTTTAAAATATAGCATAAAATTTTTTTTTATAAATTTTGATTTTATGCGAAAATCAAAAACTTAAAACTCAAATTATTTTCTTACTTTTCTTCTTAGGAGTGATATGTAAATAAATAATTTTGTTTAAGGCTTCTGATCAGTCACCGTGACTATATTGGATAGATTATTGGATATTAATATCATTCATATTGGATGACATTAGAAGTAAGGAAAATCATGTCCAAAATTCCTGCAAACCATGGCTAAATAAAAAGATATATAATTAAAATTTCACTTGCAATCTATTTTCACACACACGTGTGTGTGAATATATATTCACATACGTGTGAAATGCGCTTCGGATATTTCTCTTTTGCCCAAATAACTATTAGATAAATAAATATAACAAATCGCTTTGTTTTAACAGAAATTAATTAGCTGTGTGACTCGGTGTCAAATATGATCGAATAATTATTTATATGCATTAAATATTATAATAAACACAATACTCGCAGCATTTCCACAATTCCACAATTGTATTACATGTGATATGCACTCAGTAATAACACTGTGGTTTACGGGAAAAAAATTGGACATCTGTTTACATCATTACCTTCCAAATAGCACAATAAATTCCTAAAGTATTCCCGAAGTATTCCTAAAATATTCTTCTTTCTTGAAAGGTAGTTCTTTAAGAATTTTTACTTTACTTTAGGAGTATACTTTAAGAACGATTAAGGAAGTTACATGCACCATAATTTCTGACAACCTTTTAAAGTATTCAATTTCGAATTATTTATGTGTGTGTGTGTGGAACAACAGATATATACTTCATAAATTTTTTTATATAAGATATATATTACTTTTTTCTAACAGAAACTACTCGTAAATGTCGCAGCGTTTACTGATTTTACTTGAAAATTTTAGATTACCTGATTCCAATATTACATCACATTTAAAAATTCTCACTGATACTGGTGACTCGAACTTGAACTCCCTGAGGCATCTCTGGATTATGAAAGTTTGTTGCTTTAGATACTACATTTTTTCGATCGATATAAACATCTTACATTTTGTCTATATATGTTGTAATTAACACAGTAATATAATTTTTTGATGATATGATTTAATAAAATGATTTAATTTTAATAAAATTTTTCGTACTTTTATTTTTAATTTTAATTCTTAGTTAACGAAGTGAACTCTACAAACTTCTATGAAAAAGTACTATTAGTGGCACTATTAGAACTATAGCACTAATGATATTTTCGCTATAGTGACACTATTAGTGTCACTATTAGTGACACTGTTAGTGGTAATAGTTCTAGTAGTTACTTTTAAAACATTAAAAACAATGGGTTAAGTTCACTTTTTTTCATGAGAAAAATGTTTTTTCAAATGTTTTGGAAAAAACATTTTTAAAATATTTAATAAACATTTTTTTAATATTTGTTAAACGTTTACGTGAACATTTATAAATATTATAAATAATATAAATATTTTATTATAAATATATAAATATTTTTCTTGAATTTTCCACATTATTGTTTCACACGCTACTTAATTCAATTTAAATTGTACTTAGAAAATTTGCTTACCATGCTGGGACTCGAACCTGAGAAGACCTCTGCTTCTTGAGTCGTCCACCTTACCCACTACGCCACTGTCACTTTTACCGAGAGATACTTTATATTGTATATATACAGGGTGTTCGGAAAGTACCGGGACGCCTGAATATCAGGAAAAA